AATGAGTGTCTACCAAGTTTGTTCAAATAAAAGCTCTGGGGTCAAAATTGGCCCGCCCCAGGGGGTCATTGATTTTCCCTATATGCATATAGTAAAAACTTAAAAAATCTTCTTTTAAAGAACTCAAAGAGCTAGAGCTTAGATATTTGGCATGAAACATCTTCTAGTGAATGTCTACCAAGTTTGTTCAAATAAAAGCCCTGGGGTCAAAATTGGCCCCGACCTAGGGGGTCATTGATTTTCCCTTTATGCTTATAGTAAAAACTTAAAAAATCTTCTTTTAAAGAACCCAAAGAGCTAGAGCTAAGATATTAAGCATGAAACATCTTCTAAGTGAGTGTCTACCAAGTTTGTTCAAATTAAAAGCCCTGGGGGTCAAGATTGGCCCCGCCCCAGGGGTCATTGATTTTCCCTATATGCATATAGTAAAAACTTTTAAAAATCTTCTTTTAAAGAACCATAAGAGCTAGAGCTTAGATATTTGGCATGAAACATCTTCTAGTGAATGTCTACCAAGTTTGTTCAAATAAAAGCCCTGGGGTCAAAAAATTGACCCCGCCCCAGGGGGTCATAGATTTTCCCTATATGGCATATAGTAAAAACTTAAAAAAATTTCTTTTAAAGAACCCAAAGAGCTAGAGCTGAGATATTAAGCATGAAACATCTTCTAGTGAGTGTCTACCAAGTTTGTTCAAAATTAAAGCCCTGGGGTCAAAATTGGCCCGCCCCGGGGGTCATTGATTTTCCCTATATGCATATGGTAAAAACTTAAAAAATCTTCTTTTAAAGAACCATAAGAGCTAGAGCTTAGATATTTGGCATGAAACATCTTCTAGTGAATGTCTACCAAGTTTGTTCAAATAAAGCCCTGGGGTCAAAATTGACCCTTGCCCCAGGGGGTCATAGATTTTCCCTATATGCATAGAGTAAAAACTTAAAAAATTCTCTTTTAAAGAACTCAAAGAGCTAGAGCTAAGATATTTAGCATGAAACATCTTCTAATGAGTGTCTTACCAAGTTTGTTCAAATAAAAGCTCTGGGGTCAAAATTGGCCCGCCCCAGGGGGTCATTGATTTTCCCTATATGCATATAGTAAAAACTTAAAAAATCTTCTTTTAAAGAACTCAAAGAGCTAGAGCTAAGATATTTAGCAGGAAACATGTTCTAATGGGTGTCTACCAAGTATGTTCAAATAAAAGCCCTGGGGTCAAAACTGGCCCCGCCCGGGTTGGGGGGGGGGTCATTGATTTTCCTTATATGGACACGGCCTACTGAATTTTCGACCCATATATCCTATAGTAAATCCATCACATTTAAGGCTAAATTCTGGACAAAACAAATCCGGTACCGAAACTTCATGACCATTTCTTTAAACACCAATGCAGTCCAAGTAAATTTAGCACAAAAAAATAATACATTAGCCCTTGGAGTTTTTCTGCAGCTTTTAATTTCTGTAATCACTATAGAATATTCCAAATAGTAACTGGCGTGTGTATTCTTGTGCATTAGTGCCTCATGAAACCTTCCACCCAGAAATGAAATCCTGCAAAAATACATCAAAAACAACCTTTAAAGTACTCAGAAATGAAACTTCATGTACATAATTACTATAGATATACTTAAAATATAACCAGTATCAATTAAGATGATATGAAATAGGCCATTTCAAAATTTAAAAGAACTACTTTCTAGACTACAACGGGCTGGGTCTAATTCCGTACCGGGGTGACACCATATGTGTATAGCAAAAACTTAAAAATCTTCTTTGGAAAAACCCAAATAGCTAGAGTTTAGATATTAAGCATGAAACATCTTTAAGTAAATATCTACAAAGTTTGTTAAAATAAACGCCCGGGGGTCAAAACTGGCCCTGCCCCAGGGGTGACATTGTTTTTAACTATATGTGTATAGTAAAAACTTTAAAAATCTTCTTTTAAAAATGCCAATGAGCTAGAACTTAGATGTTTAGCATGAAACATCTTCTTATGGGTGTCTACCAAGTCTGTTCAAATAAACAAATAAAAGCCCTTGGGTAAAAATTGGCCCGGGGGTGGGGGGCCTATATACAGGTGAGCGACCTCAGGGCCATCATGGCCCTCTTGTTGTTTATTATTGTCCTTAAAATATAAACCTGGAAGTGTACTTTCAAATGGTTCATCATTTTACAATAAGAGCTTTGTTGTTATATTAATTTTGGCCTAACTTTCACTTTAGACAGACTTAAGTGAAAACAAACATGGCTGACAAAGCGGAATCACCTTAAACAACTCAAGTAAAAATGACAAACCAAATGATACCTCATTACTGACTTGAACATGTATACCGACTTTAAGAATATAAATCGTCACCTTTTCTAGCAATTGGTTTAAGATTTTTTATATTTTGCCATTTAAAAAATTGTGTTAATAAAAATATTATAAATCAGTGAAACATTCTATCAGATGTAAATATGTTATTTGATTTATGTTGCCTAGAAAATTACAGTTCTGTTGACTTTTTATCAGGGGATGAATGTGTGTTAATTTTGACAGTTAAATGAGTTAATGTTGTTTAATATACCTGTTGAAAGATCTTGTTAAATGAAAATGTGTTTATGTCTGAAAATTTCCATTTAAAAATGAAATAGAAGTGAACCTGTTTGTTTTTATATTTACAACCATATACAACTACATTTGTATAAATTTTCTCATTAAAATACCAAAATTTTTCACAAAATACTGAGGCGTTTTTTTTTCTAGTTTCCATCTTTCAAATTTATAATCAATATACAATATCTGAAAAACATTTTTATATACCTATAAGTTTGCTAATGAAAATCATACTTAACGCCCCTTGTAACAATATTCAGGGTACCATAGAATTTATATTGTTATATCCAAGAGGCAACCAATTTGAAAACAATAATCAGGATTGGGGCAACATCATTTGATGTGGCACATCCTTTTATTAGTGATCTCTTTTTAAGAGAAGTTTACTATACAGTTATGTATCTCTGTGAGCATGATTATACATACGAAAGACTTTGGTTAATTTAAAATCATATGTTGACTTAATAATTTCTTTATTGGTTAAACAGGTAGAACTTTATATACATGTAGATATTGACTTAAAGATTTCTTTATTTGGTTAAATAGTTAGAACCTTATATTTTTATTTATATATATTGAGTCTTATAATTTCATGTATTATTCTTTTAAAATAGGAAATAATCAAATAAAATTTTACAACAGGAAGAGGAAGTGAGTTATTTCCCCTTCATATTTTTATTTTCAAACCAAAAGAGAAAGTAAAAATATTAAAAATTTCCAACTTATAATCTTGTCAAACAGAAAGTCAATACAATTTCTTGATTATTTTTGCTAAATAGTATCCAATCTAACTTTCAAAGTAAGTTTTAAATTTATGTTTAAACATATACTTTATATTAAAATAAATTATTATATAAGAATATATATCTATTCATATTAAGTCTTATAGTTTCATTTGTTTTTCTTTTAACAGGGTAAATAATAAAAGTGTTTGTGAAGGCTTGTATAGGAAAATACATTTGTCTTTTTTTGAATCTAAAATGACAAGAGCTTAGGTATTTGTCATCAAGCATTTTGTAGTATACATCTTCAAATATCTTTAAAAGTACACAGCTCAAGTAAAAAAAAATGACAAACCATATGATACTTCATTACGGACTTTAACATCAAAAAATAAAAATCGTCACCTTTTCTAGCAATAGATATCAGGTGAGCGATCCAGAGTCATCATGGTCTTCTTGTTTAAGATTCATGTGTAAATAAAGATATTATAAATCCTATGACATGTAAATATCTTATTTGATTCATGTTGCCTAGAACATTAAAGTTCTGTTGATTTTTTACCAGGGGATGAATGTGCGTTAATTTGACAGTTAATGTTGTTTCATATGCCTGTTGAAAGATCTTGTTAAATGAAAATGTGTTTATGTCTGAAAATTTCCATTTAAAAATGAAGTAGAAGCGAACTTGTTTGTTTCTATATTTACAACCATATACAACTCCATTTGTATAAATTTTCTCATTAATATACCAAAATTTTTCACAAAAACAATGCATCATTATACTGAGGCGTTTTTTTCTAGTTTCCATCTTTCAAATTTATAATCAATATTCATATTATGAAAACTATGTCAGTTGTTTAAACAATAATTATTTTTTCTTTGTTTATTGTGTTTTCCACAATTTTAGGATTGTCTTTGTCTGGAAAACATTTTTATATACCTATAAGTTTGCTTATGAAAATATACTTAACTCCCCTTGTAACAATATTCATGGTACCATAGAAGTTATATTGTTATGTCCAAGAGGCAACCAATTTGAAAACAAGAGTCAGGATTGGGGCAACATGATTTTAAGTGGCATATCCTCTTATTAGTGATCTCTTTTTAAAGAGGAATTTACAGTTATTTATCTCTATGAGCATGAGTGTACATGCAATAGTCTTTAATTAATTTCAAATCATATGTTGACTTTATAATTTCTTTATTGGTTAAACAGAATTAACAGATAGAACTTTATATAGACATTGATATTGGCTTAATGATTTCTTTATTGGTTAAATAGATAGAACCTTATATTTTGAGTCCTATAATCTTATGTATTTTTCTTTTAAAAGGGGAAATAATCAAATAAAATTTTACAACAGGAAGGGGAAGTGAGTTATTTCCCCTTCATATTTTCATTTTAAAACCAAATGAGGAAGTAAACATAGTACATTTCCAATTTATAATCTTGTCAAACAGAAAGTCAATACATTTCTTGATTATTTCACTAAAAATAGTATCTGATCCATTATTTCAAAGTAAGTTTAAAATTTCTATTGAAACACATTATTTCACATTATTATATAAAATATATATCTTTTAAGTCTTTATAATTTCATTTATTTTTCTTTAAAAAGGTGTAATAATGAAATAAAATTTTACAACAGAAAGAGGAAGTGAGTTATTTCCCCTTCATATTTTCATTTTAAAACCAAAAGAGGAAGTAAAAGTTTCCAACTTTTTATCTTGTCAAACTTATATTCAATACAATTTCTTGATTATTTTCACTCTAAATGGTATCGAATACGACCTTCAAAGTAAGTTACATAATTTCACATAATAAAATAAATACATTCATATATAAGAAAGTATTGGATTGAATATTATCAGTTTATCTAATTAGTGAGTGTTTAATTGCAGAAGTACCTTCAAAGTAAAGAAAATCCGTCATATTAGATTTTTAGCTCGATTATTCTGCGCGCAGTCACCCATTTGTCGGCGTCCCTGTGGTTAAGTTTGTGCGTGAAAGCTGGTATCTCCATAACTACTGAAGGGAATGGATTGAAACTTCACACACTTGTTCCCTATGATTATCAAACATAATTAGCACACGTCCCATAACTCTGATTGCTTGTTTGCATAATTATGCCCCATATCCGACTTACAAATTCTTGGTTAAGTTTTTGCGTGCAATCTGGTATCTCCTTAACTACTGAAGGGAATGTATTGAAAACTTCACACACTTGTTTTCTGTGATTATTTAACATGATTGACACAAGTCACATTATTCTGATTTTTCTTTTCATAATTATGCACCTTTTTCGGCTTAGAAATTCTTGGTAAAGTTTTTGCTTGTAAGCTGGTATCACCATAACTACTGAAGGGTTTGTGCTTTTTTGGAGCAATTCTATGCATTCATAATAATAAAGCAGTGATTCACTCGATAAACATCTTAATTACAATCCTTAGTACTTTTTGGGACAGTTTTATGCATTCATATAGGTAAGCATTATTTTACTCAATGAAACACAATTGTGACATCTTTTCGAATAGTCGAGCGTAACTGTCCAGTGCGACAGTTCTTGTTTTAGTAACAATTTGTCACAATTAAATTTAAACAATAAATATTGAGTCTAGAAAACAAAATCTGATAACAAAACCTGATTTATTTATACACTTACATCAATATTTTCACATAATAAAATAGGAAAATATCAAAACAAATACACGTAGATAAAAGAAACAAACTGAGAGACAGACATAATTTATCCTTATAATCTATTAATTTATATGTACCTTAAACTTTTATAATATCAAAACTGGCTATTCTGTTCTGTTCTAGGACTTCAAGGAAGAAGAAGTATGTGACAAAATAAACTTTGCTGACTGAAACAAAATTTCCTTAATTTACTTATATATTACAGAATGTTTCAAGAGCCAGACTACAGAGAAAATCTATCATTGATGTTATCAGAAGTTTTACATGACATTGGTGTCAATGAAAGAATGGTGATCAGACGCAGAAGACAAAACATGCTGAGAGAGGCTATAAGTTATATCAAAAACAGGTTAATTGATTACAATGTAACTGAATATTATCTAGGGAGTCAGAGTGAAGGTACAACTACTACAGGACTAAATTCAGACAAGGATATACTAGTATGTGTGTGTGATGTCAATATAATACAAGACTGGTCAGAGTGGGAACATGGCAAGACAAACTACTTCATGATACATGATGAGAACACTACCCCTGGTTATTGTCTCTTACAACTGCTCCGACATGATGAACCTCTTCCTGTCACTTTAATTCCTGATGAACACCATATATCTGATAGAAGTGGAAGAATTTTGTTAAAAAACACAAAATTTAATGGTGTCATTTCGGATGCTGTAGATCATGGTCCATCTAACGCTTTACAAGGACAACCTGGATTATGTGATACAGACTATGTGCCAGCTTTTCATTGTAAATCATGGCCTCAATCAGCATCAGGTTGGTTTGAGAGACAAGGTATTGACAGATGGCCAACACAAGACATGAAAAGATATGCAGCCAGTACTGGATGTTTTGTTGTTCCAACTGGAAGTAAGGTCAGTGAATATCCTGAACTGGAATGGAGAATATCTACATCCCTGGAAGAAAGATGTCTTATGTTCAACCTAAATATAACACAAATAAGGTGCTATGTATTGTTGAAAATGATTCTTAAATACTTCCTAAATCCTCAAGGGGAAATTAATATATCAAGTTTTATGTGTAAAACAGTTCTTCTACATTGTATAGAAAAAACAGAGTCAAGTATATGGAAAGAAAAAAATTTATTTACATGTTTAACATACTGCTTATTAGAATTACACAGCTGTGTACATAATGACAGTTGTTCACATTTCATAATCCAAGAAAACAATTTGATGGCAGGGCAATTTACAGCTGGAAAAAAACATGAACTTTCCAAATATATAACTGAATTTATACAGAATGATGGACATGGGTTACTTAGAATTGATATTGATGATCTAGGTCAAAGACTGCAAGTTAAACTGAACATGGTACCACATGGAGCATACAATTTTCAGTCTTCTCATGAAATATATGAAATGCATTTGGCCTCATTATATGTAAACATTGCAATACAGACAAGTAGATGTAATATGCTTCTTTTACAGAATCAAAACATGAGCACAATGAAGCAAACTGTTTGTAAACTAATGACCTTCAATGATAATAGATTACAACATGTTGCATTCAAGTTTCTAGCACCTTTATTTTTTACCGCATATGGATCTGTCATGACATCATCGAGTATTGGTGAAAAAAATCAAGTGTCACCTGAAGCATTGGTTTGGCTATCAGCTGGTTTAAACTCGGATATCTCATCTAGCAGACTTAAATTGGCTTCAGTCTTCTACAGTACAGGAGATATGGAGAAAGCTGAACTAATTTTGAGGCACACTGAACAACAATATTACTCTTATCCTGTTTTACCTATCTGTTGCAGCTGCTGGAAAAGGCCTCAACCACCAGTAACATCAGAATTCGTGCGGGCATGTTGTGAGCAAAGTGAGGACAGTATCAAACATATTACACCATTTTGTGTCATATTTATACAGGAAGAGATCAACTGTGTCCCTCGTGAACTACAATATGAAATGTTCAGATCTACACAAGATGACATGATACACAGAGATGAAGGTAAAGACTTTTGGATGGACTGGGCTGAAGTTGATTCTCTTCCTTTCCTGTACTTCCTACAATATAAAGTCTATCGCCATCTACAAAAACATCAATACCAACAACAAGCACTTAGTAAACTTATAAGAACCATAGAAACAGATGAAAATCTTGGACATAGAGAAACAGCTTTCAACATTTTAGGGCAATGTATGGAACAAGAAAACAGACCTCAAGAAGCATTAAAATGCTACCTGCTTTCTCTTCAACAAAGGGCAAGAAACAATGTAGCAAACTTCCATATATGTAAGCTCCTTTCTAGGGTATTGACTGGCCGATAAAACATGTGGTCAAAAACAGACAGTATTAAGACTTAATTTCTATTGATCAAAATCATAAATCTTGTGTGTAATAACAAATCTTTTTTTTCTTTTATTATCTTTTATATGTTTGTCAAGTCACACTTGTTGCTTAAATGTTCATTTTCATTAATAAATGACAAAAATAGTAGCAAAGTTCAATCATCTGACCTAGACAGTTGTAGTCATATCTAAATCATTTATCATGTCCGTTGGTTACACATGTCCGTTGATCACAAGTGTTGTTTGTCCACGTACAAATCAAATCCATACATAAAAAATGACAACTGAACCAAATTCAATAGTTTAACCTTCAAGGTCAAACTCATACATGAGGCAATGTCAATTTGAATTTGCTACACCTAAAAGATGCTTTATTTAAATATGTAGATAAATCCATTCATAAATAAAAAAGTATTAGCCAGTAACAGGTAAAACAAGAATGGGTTTGTTCAACAGAAATGCCTCCAACTCAGATTCTTGTCAGAAATAATTTTTCAGTTATCGACAGAACAATTGCTGAAAAACTTTATAACTATACACATATAACTTGACAGAGTCATGATGTTTTGTAATTGTGAAAAATAAAAGTTGGCAAGTCATTGCTTTGACTTGTGATGAAGTTAAAAAATATTCAACTTTATCAAATATGTATAAATGCACTTCACCTTGAACCCAGTGACCCCAAACTCCAACCACCTTAGTAGCACAAATGACACTGACCTTGTGACTCCCAGCACTGGATCATCCAAAGTATGTGCATCTAAATATGAAAAAATCAGTTTTTAAAATAAAGGCTAAAAAAACCAAATTTTCAAAAATCTTTTTTTTGGCACCCGGGCCCCACTGCCCCCTATACCCCCAATCCAAAATGAAAGCCCATGCAAGATATTTTCCTCCCAAATATAAAAAACCCCTTGACCATGCCCAAACTGCCCATAACTAAATCAAAAGGGGGAAAAAATTTAAAACATTTTAATTTTTATTTTCCCTATAAAATAAAAAAAGACATCTCCCCATAAAAAAAAGGGTAATATTTGAAAAGTTTTAAAAAATCTTTTTTAAAAGCCTGGTGCCCTTGACCCCCAAATTTTCCAAACCCAAATTTAAAAAAGGAGGATATTCCTGACTGCTCATTACAACCTGTTCAGTACCTGAATCCTGAGGATAAATTGTATATATAACTATAACATTACTTTATAATTTCTTCACAACTCCCATGATTTACAAATGGCATTTTCACTTCCTGATACATTGGACAGTAAGTATAATGGTCATTTGTCTCTTGCCAATGATTCAGAAATTATGTTGGAATAGTTTTTGTTCCTTTCGGTTGATATTGGTAATAACCGTAAAGTTATCTAGCAAAGCACGTTAAGTGGACCAAACCCCGAAATATGACCAAACATGTGTTAGAAAAAAATTAAATTTGGTGTAAGAACATTTAAGTACCTAGATCTGTTCGTTTAAACATATTTATTTAAGCTTCATTAAGAAACAAGTTCTTGCAACTTATGTTAATCACTTTCAAGTCCGCTTCCTGGAACAAACCAGTCCTGGTGTCATACGAAGAAACATGGTTGAGACCCAATTAGGGGCCAAACCTATGGTCCCTGGGTTGAGAGGCAGACACCTTAACCACTAGGCCAACGCTCCCCCCTGTTGATATCTTAACACTAGCTGTTCCTATGAAGAAACACAAAACGCCATTTTTCTATTTAAAAATTTATTTACATTTTTTGGCGTTTTATGAAAAACCTGGGGCCCTAATTACATACAAACTTTAAACATATTTTTTTTTTTTTTTTTAAAAATTACTAAAATCCACAAAAATTTCTTTAGAAATTTTTTCGAAAAAAAGCAAAAAATCCTGAAAGCCCCGGGAAAATTTAAAAAAATCCATGTATTTTTTTTAAAAGACTTTAACCCTGCTTCGCTAAAGTGTTTTAAACCTTTGCCGCCAGTTCAGACCCAAAGGCCACCCTACATGTCCATGCAGTCTGCCCAGGCTCGGGTTAAGTTGTTAGCTCAGGATTTTATTTGGGTTTATGAAATACCTGAAACTTCAAGGGACTTTTCCCAAGTGCAAAGCGGGAAACAAATCCATTACACAAAACCCGGGCAGGTTAAGAGAAAATTTTTTTTGATTAAAATTTTCACAAATTTTAAAAACCTCCCTTTAAGGGCTATTTTCCCCGGTTTTTTCTGTCACAGCTCGGGGGAAATTCATCTAAATTTTCTTTTTGGGTAACGGATTTTTTATTACTTTTAATTTTTTTTAGGAATTAAAGGGGAAATAAAAAAAACTATTTTTTTGTAAAAAAAATTTTAAATTTTACTGAAATAAATAATTAAATTTACAAAATAAAGAAAATAAAATAATTTTTTTTCTGCAGAAAAAAATTTTCAAAATCTATTAGGGGCCAGTTTGCAACAAGACTTTTTTAAATTTTCCCTATTTTTTCTATAAATAAATTTTTTTGGGGAAAAATTTGGGTGCTAGATAGTACAGGAATATAAAAAAAATTTTTAAAACCCCAAAAAAAACCCTTTCCCCACCAAACGGTAAAATAAATGTTTTAGAAAAAAAGGGAAAATTTTCTCAAAATAATTTTATTTTACTTCTTGGAGCTGATCCTTTACGGGTACTGGAAAAGGGCTTTAAAACCCTAGGTTTTCGAAAAGGTCATATAAGCCCAAATTTTTGATTTAATTTTAATGGGGACGGGTCCAATTTTAAAACCATTATCGGAAAGGGTTTTTGTTACAGGTTTTTTTGCATTAATCCCTTTTTAAAAATGGAGAATTTTTAAATTTAAAATTTTAAAATTTGAATCCGAAAAATTCCATTTTTTCTTTGTAAATAGCAAAAAACCAAATATCTATGCAAACGGTTTTTATAAGGGTTAGTTAAATCTTTCATTTTCCCAAGATGATAAATTTAAATCTTTCAATTTTTTTTGGCTTTTGAAAATCTAGAACATTTTTTTTGACCTAATAGAAAAAAATTGATATAGAATTCTAAAGGGATTAAAACTGAAGACTAGAAAATTAATGTAAGCAAGATATTAGTATGCTTAAATTAAAACAAAGAATTTACAATGGCAAACAAATAAGTTAGTACTAAATCTTTTTTCTTTTTCATGCCATTATCAGAAGTATAAAGTACAAGTCCAGCCGTAACAAAGTCAGTACTATTATATCCATTTTTCTTTCCCTTCCATGTATGGGTCAGGTAAACAAATCTGTAAATTCCTTTTTATTTTTTCTCAGAAAAGGAGTCAAAATAATCACAGCTGTATACAAAACTTTTTTCCCCCCCCCCCCCAAAACTTAATCATTTACTTCTTCCAAAATTTTTCACATCCAAGCTGTTTAGACAATCTGTTCTCAGAAAAATAAGAAAAAACACAAAAAACACCAGTAAAATTATGAAAAAACAAAAAAACAACATTCCTAAAAAAACAAATTAAAAGTTTTTTAAAAAGGTTTCAACCATAAAAAAACCTAACTCATCTTTTATCCCCCAAAAATTTCCCCCTATATTATTTCTATAAAATTAGGGGCATTTGAACTTTTAAACTATTACAACACTACTGCCCGGACGCCCACCCCATTTTTTGGGTCATTTGCACTGATGATTTGATTTACATGTTTTTTTTTTTTTTAAATCTTTTTTAAATGATTATTACAAAAAAATTTTTTTTTTAAATAAAAAGTCCCATTTTACACTTTTTTTGATACTGAATATTAAAAAATGAAAAATTTTTTTGAAAAGTCTTTCCTTTTTTGAAAATTTTGATACTAAGAGAAAAAATTTTTTTGGTTTTTAATTAATAACCATTTTCTATCTTATAATACTGAATATCTAACATAAAGTAAACAAAACACATTACCATTTTCTATATTTTTGATCCTCAATATTTCTATGATCACAATTCTTCCAATTCAAATTAAACCATTAAATCCTAAACTCTCAGCCACATAAAAAAAGCTGCCATTAATTTAAATACAGACACTTAACCCTATGAGTTATAAAAAAATGTGGAGATGGACTTTTTCATAAATAATAATCACAAAAATCAAAACACTAAAATTTAAGTCATTCCAATCAATCCTTCCATCTCTCAAAGTTATCCAGTGGATAATGCTCGGCATAGTTGGTCACATGTTGTTTCATAGCTTTCTGTTGTTTTTCTATATGCCATTCCATGTTCTTATATACGTCTGTGAAAAGTAGCTCAGGGTTTGGCTTCTTCCGTGCTTCTGCTCTCGCAAATGTTTCCATTACCTACAAGATTGATTAAATTAATTGGCTGCTCTCAATTTAAGCAAATTTCCAAATTCATTAACAAAAAAAAACAAATTTTTTTTATTAAAAAAAACGCCACAATCGCCTTTATACCCTTTGAGTAAAAAGGTTAATTTCAAATCTCTTTTGGGGAAAAAAAAACCCCCTTTTTCACTTTTTTAAAAATGACTAATTAAAATGGGACCCAAATCTTTCTTTATGAACAAAGTATTTTTTAAACAATAAAACCCTTTTTTTTAAACCTTTAAAAAAATGACAAAGCCTTGAAACTTCAGATCTGGTTTTTATGTTATGCATTTTGATGTTTTAAATATCCACCCTTTTTCAAAAAAATTTTTGTGATTGCAAAATAACGGGGGTATTTTAAATATATGGGAAATGTTATATTTCACATGCAAAAAATTTAATTTTTAACATGTATTAATAAAAGAAACAAAAATTTTAAAAATTTTTGTTAATTTTTTAAAAAAGCTTAATAATTTCACTGTTTTCCTAATAAATCATAAAAAACCCTTTAAAACTTAGATAAAACTATTTGCTAAAATTACAGTTTAAATACTTCTATATCAATGTAATTATAAACCAAAAAGGTAAATATTTTTTATAAATTATTTGATAATCTTTACCATTTGTTTAGATTCTGTTTTCCATTCCTTTTCTTTGTTATCATCCCACCAGCCTTTACTTATCATAAAGTATCGTAATCTTGCTATGGGCGTGTCCTGTTTGTCCCAGTACGCTGCCTCGTCAACTGACCGATATGCTGAACTGTCGTCTGATGTACTGTGATGACCTAACCTGATACGGATATCAAAATATGCTTTATCATAACAAATATGATTTATTAAGAAAACTTAGTGTAAATATACATCCAAATCTAAGGGACTGGAGGTCCACTAAGACAGGAATATTTCTGCTGCCTAAACAACAAATTTGACTATGGACATATGCTATTGACAAATACAATATTGCTGATGACTTATTCAAATACATAAAAAGAGATGTAATTTCAACTGAACAATCCCCTCTGAAACCCTTGTGTGCTGGTGGCAACTGTTTCTTCCAATGCGACCACTGTAGAACAAGATCAGCATGCACATCCATGCCGTCAGATCATGGTCTGCACTGTTCATTATTCAGTCAATAATTATTTTGAAATTTTCTCTAAAAACAAGAATTGTGTCCAAAGGACACGGATGCCCCCACTGTGCAGATGTGCTCGTAAACAAGAGCATGCATATCTGTATGTAAGATTTTTAGGTGGAACTTTTTATTAAAATCTGCCATCCGGTTTGTGTTCACAAAATTCCTATATGGTATATAGTTAAAAAATCAAAAAAGGGCCATAATTCTGGTAAATTTGGTCGCAGCAAAAATTCCTTCCTTTACTACCATCTACACATTAAGGCTGTTCATCCCTGAAGGTTTAAGCAAAAAATAGACAACCAGTTTAAGAGGAGTTGCGTTCACAAAATTTTTATATGGTATATAGCGAAAAAATTATCAAAGGGCCATAATTTTGTTAAATTTGGTTGCAGCAAAAATTCCATCCTTTACTACATCTACACATTAAGGTTGTTCATCCCTGGAAATTTAAGCAAAATCTGCCATCCGGTTTAAGAGGAGTTGCGTTCACAAAATTTCTACATAGTATATAGTGAAAAAATCAACAAAGGGCCATAATTCCGTTAAATTTAGTCGCAGCAAAAATTCCTTCCTTTACTACCATCTACACATTAAGGCTGTTCATCCCTGAAAGTTTAAGCAAAATCTGCCATCCGGTTTAAGAGGAGGTGCGTTCACAAAATTTCTACATAGTATATATTGAAAAAATCAACAAAGGGCCATAATTCTGTTAAATTTGGTGGCAGCAAAAATTCCTTCCTTTACTACCATCTACACATAAAGGTTGTTCATCCCTGAAAGTTTAAGCAAAATCTGCCATCCAGTTTAAGAGGAGATGCGTTTACAAGATTTCGGGACGGACGGATATTCTTACCAGAGCTACATTATGGGGTTTTCTTTTGTTATTTCTTTTGTTCTTTTTAACCCCACAATGCACAAAATAACCCCACAAGTGAAACGGAATGAATGACATCAAAGACATCTTTTGTTATGAGAACAATAGACCAAACCCCATAATGTAGCTCTGGTTTGTACGGACTGACTGACGGACGGACGGACAAGTGCAACGCTATATGCTCCCACTTTGTGGGGGCATAATGATGAATAGTTTTGTTTGCCTGTGTATGAGAAATTTTTGTAAAGCAAAGTATGCACACATAATTTTGTTGGATATAATTTTTACATTTTCAAAAGAATTTTTAATCCAAATTCCTATGAGAAAACAAATCTTCATCCATGTTCTTAAGATTTCTTCTTTAATGCCATCAGATCAGTTATATTATAAGAAAAAAATGTTTCCACAATTCATCCTTAACCAAGAATGAAGGAAGTATTCAGGAGAAAATTTCTTGTTGTTCTCATACCTGTAGGTCATTGCCTCTATAAGGACTGGCCTGCATTCCTTCACACACATATCTCGTGCAGCCTTTGTAGCGTTATACGTGGCAAACACGTCATTCCCGTCAACTCGTATAGTCGCCATACCATACCCCGCACCACGAGATGCTAAAATATCATAATTTACTTATTAATCTGATAAGGACATTCAGTCATCAAAAACTTAATGAATTAATTCAATACAGTGCAAGTATAATCTTTATTTGCAGCACAGCAGAACCAAATACAATTACAGAATAACTTCTATGTGCCAAACTTTGATAAGTTGATTTTCTCGATGTGTCAAAGTGAAATGAAAGTCCTGTTTATTTCTCCTTTATATTATTTTTCTCAGACCTAAATGTATGTTAATCATGAGTCAAAGTTTTATGTGTCAATATTTTCGAAGTGTCAATGTTTTTATGTGGTCTGAAAAGGATAATTTGAGAATTTTTTTTACTATAAATAAGTCAAATTTTATCGATCAATTTGACGTTATTTTTCACACCTCTTCTAGCCATGATGATGTTATTGAAAGTAGATGAGTGGCTAAAAACATGTTACGAGGGATTTTACTCGTATACATTGTTAAAATGAAAATCTGCGTAACTCACAAACACAGTGGAATGATCACACTTCTCAAACAAAAAAAATATCTTCTTGTTCCGCAATTTGTCTTAGCAGTCAAATGGAAAGCAGCGTAACAGATAACCCAATGTTTAAATATTCATTAACAGCAAATTCTAAATATTCATTAACGGTAAATTCTAAATATTCATTAACGGTAAATTCTAAATATTCATTAACGGTAAATTCTAAATATTCATTAACGGTAAATTCTAACATAATTTGTTTACCTATACCATCTCCTCTATATTGATCCTTCGTTGGTGTTGAAATAGCATAACCATTGTTACGACTGAAAAAAAAATTGAGGTACTTTTATAACTTTTTTATTACCATACCAAAATTGACATTGAAGAAACATGGTTATGACACAAGCAGGGCTCAAACCCATGTCCCCGATGATGCCTCTTCAAGTCAAGAAAATAAATTTTAAAAGTTACAATGCTCTCCAGTTTGTTAATTATCTATAGGATTTTCATTGACAAAAATGTACATGTACTTCATGTACAAAAACATACTTAGTTTTATAAACATTGAAAGATAATGAGTGTTCCTTGCTAAGTTTCTAATATTTTCAGCACAGGTTTTCACGTAAACTGAACAAATGAAATCCACAATTGTAAATATAAAATATGATCATAATACATCTTTCAAACTGTACAAAGTACATGAAGAAAATTGTCCATATTTAATTTTCTCAAATCTATGCAGTCAAGTATGAAATAACTTACCAGAAGAAGATAATGGGACATTCTAATGTAGCAGCAAAGTTGAATGCTGCATGAGCATCACCCTCCGAGGCAGCCCCTTCTCCAAAGTAACATATCACACACAGATCCTTGCCCTTCCTCTTCAATGCATAAGCTGCCCCAGATGCTGGACAATAAGTAAAAAAGATAATAAGTTCAATGTCAGTCAATAACATTAAGATAAAGAGATCTTATCTTCTTCCTGCCATTAAAATTATTATTATGATTGTCACCCTAGTGCAATTACTGGTTAACTCCAATTGCATTTAGAAGATGTTAACCCATCACTGCACAAAGGTGACAATAGTGTTTTTTTTTGGTTGGGTTTTATGTTGCATCAACGCAGTGCAGGTCATATGGCGACTTTCCAGCAATACTGGTGGACAAAGACCTCAGGTGCCCTTCTGTGCATTCTGTGAGTAGAACCACAGACTTCTGTGAGCTAGCTGGATAGCTTCCTTACATTAAAGAATCCAAAGTCCCTGTCAGGATTAGAACCTTTTGCGTTGAGGGGCAAGTAGTTTGAGCAAAAAAATTAAACAAATTATGTGAAACTATAAACAAAATATACTTATGTGGCTTAATGAAGGTAACTAATGTGGGACAACATAATTAAAAGTTTGTTTTTTTCCTTTTTTCATTGCTTAATATTTCTATATCTTATTTTTCAAGCTATTACCTTGAGGCATCTGGGTGGCAAGTGTGGAAGATATGGTAACAAAGTTGAGCTCCTTTGAGCCATAGTGTACGGGCATCTGTTTCCCCTCACCGTGATCGTTACAGTTACCATAACACTGATCCATGAACTGGTCGAGTGTAAATCCTCTCCACATTAATACACCTGTATAAATAACAATACAAACTTGTGATTAGATACATGCAACAAGACCTGTCTACTGAAAGCGCCCTCCCACTTTTTCAGTGCTGGCTTGTTAAATGAAAGCAATGTAGAAAAGTTGGCATAAATTTGCAAAAAAGATTTTTTAAATTATCTGCTTTTCTGAAATAGCATCCTTTTATGACAATAAATATGTATAGAAGTTTGAAGTCAATAGCTTTCAGTGTATCTAAGAATATAGACCTTAACGAAAAAGTAAATGCCAATGCCAATACAAGGGTCATGCCAATAGCTTCCCCCTTACTCTTCGTAAAGTGGAACTCAAAACAGTTCCTCATCCTTGACAATTAAAACTTCCATACATAACTTGTTAGTCTTAACTACTTCAATACAGTTGACAATTTAAAACCTGACATGGTATTTGGATCAGACAATACAGTACAACCTCGACAGAGCATTGCTCTAGAGAAGTTAAATTCATGTTAAATCTCAGTTCAGGAAGAATTGATACTGTTGTTGTACAGAGGAAACTGGTCTACAGAAGGCTACCCTACAGAGGTTACACCGTACAGTGTTTTCTCGCACTGTCTTCCTTTTGACTTTATTGTTAAGATCTCTCACACAGGGTTTAATGGTGGCTCCAATTCTGATGCCTCAGCACGTAAAGACAAACCCTCAGTCACAGGGAAGTCTGACCTGGCTCTATAATTTTAGATGCTCTTTTTTAAACTTATAAGAAAATGCAGATATTGAAATCCCTTTAACTTTAAATGGACTGTTCAAATTTCAAAGTGAGGTAAATCTATTACAAAATTCAGCAGGTTCAAACCTTAACTTAAAAGTCAAAGGGTTACAAACCTGCCTCTCTGTACTGCCCAAACACCATATCTTTAAGACTAAGTGCTGCAGCCGAACCGATGTGGGTACCCTCTTCTCCAAAGTTCGTCATATAGAATGAGATTCTACCTTGTCTCTGAGATTCGTACAAGATTTTATCCATTGTGTTGAGTAACGTCATATCACGGTACATTTTTATCACAGTATCTTTGTCCAGCTGTAAAAACAACGAGTGAGACTTAAAAAAGTGTTGGAGAACCATATTAAATTCCTAATTCCGGTATGTAGCAGACAAAGAGTTTGAATTACTAGATGCTTAACTCTCGCCTTATCATTCCCTGAAATGTATTTTAAGATGTCAAATGAATGTCTTCACACCGATTAATATACGAAAATGAATGAAAAATGTAATAATCAGCCAACAATGCAATATTTTGTACTTTGTGATCATGATTTCTTTAAGTCTAGAGGTACTGCTCCAATACTGTAGTGAGTTCAATCCGAAAGCAAATATAATGGATAAAATTATGTTCAATTATAAATATCAACTTAGTGATTTTCGTTTGATTATGCATTCTTGTAACTATTTTATTATCTCCGTAAAAAATCTTACAGGGTCACTGGTAAAACCATGACTTTCTTGTACTGTGACCTAGACTCGAAACATCTCACTATTAAAGTTTAATGGCACTTGGGTACTAGCTAGAACCAAAAATTCATAATCTAACACGAAAGATTTCTCGCATGTCAAAATTTAACTTTCCTAGCTGATTTTCTACAGAATGATGAAAGAAATCTGTTACCACACATTAGTCACATGTAACTCTGGCCCTAAATCAACTATCAATTTGGGTGACAGCAGGGAAAATGAGGTGAATTTTACACTCTTCAGGTAACAATTAACTGACGCATAAAAAATGGCAATCAAAAGTCTGCATTTTAAAAAATTATGATTAAATCAGTCTTACATGAGGATCTTCACTCTCTTCTATGATTTCACCTTTCCGGTTCATTACCCGGTACACTGGAATCCCTTCAATATCATCCGGTTGAATAAAGCTCAATTTATGGATGAACTTTGACCTGGAACCTGGAAATTCTGGTTTCTCTTCAAATCTACTTGGTGACTGATTTGACCACAAAGCCTGAAATTATTAAATAAAAATAATAAAATAAGTACAATTTTTTAACTTTTTTTAATATGGGTTTTCGTCCCACCAGCACAGTATACAATGTAGGTCATATCTTTTTGATTTATTCAGGGAATATACATATAAACACATACAATATTGTCACAAATATATGGAGACATGCCAGCTTTACTGGTGGAGGAAGACCTCTGGTGCCCTTCTGTACAGTATTTCAGACACAAGCAGGCACCTGAATAGAACCACCAACATTCTTTAGCTATGTGAAGTTTGAAGTAGGTACGGAAATTGAACTTGGAAGAAGAATTTATTACAATTCACATTTTTTTACATCTGTTTTTCAGTCAAAAGCCATGATTGGAAAATTGGTTTTGACAGTTAGCAGACTACAATAATGTTATAATTCCAAAATTAATACACTTATCAAGTTGCAACTTGCAAGTGAATACTGCTGTTGAAGTAGTTTCCGTAAAAAATGAAGTTTAATAATATTTAAAAAATCTCAAATAGGATATTTTTGATTAAAATGAAAATGCATTAAACAAAAATTTGAGGTCAGTCTGTGCTTTTGTTAATAAAAATCAGATCTTAAAGTTGGCATGCATATCAGGAACAAGGCTTCAAAAGGGACTTAAATTTGCAGAAATAAAATCACAAAAAATAGTATTTTTATCACATTTTAATGAGCAGTTAAATATCAAATTAGCAATAAATCAGAGATGATATCTACCCCTACACCTACCTTAATTCTACTCTACCCAATCTGAATGTGTACCTTCAACCTTTAAGTGTGACCTTGACCTTTTAGGTAGGTGGGCCTTAAGACATTTGTGTCAAGTTATTTTGAAATCCTTTAATGCATGACAAAATTACAGTCCAGAGTCACAGAAATGTGTACCTTCAAACTGTTCTTCTGACAAGTAGTACCTTCAAAACTTTAAGTGTGACCTTGACCTTAGAGGTAGGAACATGGATCCTGAATGTGACATGTCGGCTTGATGTTGTAGACATATATGCTAAGTTATTTAAAAATCCTTCCATGGATGACAAAGTTACAGACCGGACACCAATGTGTGTACCTTTAAAATCTAAAAGTGAGAATGTGAACCTTTAAACTGTAACTGTGACTTTTGAGGTAGGAACATGGACCTTAGACCCAACACATCATGATGTGGTAGACATTTTTGACAAGTTATTTTAAAATTCTTCAATGCATAACAGACAATGACATCATGTAAGTTGGGATGCACAGGCGGACGGTGCTATTTTAGTATGACACACTTCGGAGGCATAAAAAAGATACCTTTTGGCTTTGAGATGGAAATAAGCCCCAAAACTGCAAGAGGAAAATCACAGGATCCACGTGGGATTTTTTTTTTTTTTCAAACTGGAAAAAATAGGACATTTTCAATTGGGAATGGGGCCTTATTTTTTTATCCTGGTTATTGGGTGAAAACGCCCTGAATGTCAACATACAATGTAAGCATGAGCACCAATTATGTACATTAAATGTCAATCTAAAGACAAACTTTTTAAGGTAAATGTTTGCAGTTAATCATATTTCTCACACATAATTATAGACTTTTTTTTGTCTGTAGAGTTTATGATATTTATCGTCATATATCCTCAAGGTACTTTAACTTTGTACCGGGAATGTCCAGATATTACAAAAAATACTTACATAAAGAATTTCTTTTGTATGCAATTGTTTTTCACATTAATTTCATACAAACTATAGCATTTTTTGAAGAAAATTCAAAGTTTTAATAACCCTATTCACGTAAATGTGTTTTACGTATAAAAACTAGTAATATTGCTAACGATTTGGACCAAACATGATATTTTGAATGTGTATGCCAATGCTTTACTAATTGTTACCCTTTTACTGTGTGATAACTGATAAATATTGAATAGAACTTTAGTATCATTAACAGTAATGGACCATTTACATATGTTTTTAACTTTTTATTGATTGCTTAAAAGTCATTCCTGGTATTAAGTACTTAAAAACAAAGATGGATACCACTCATATGAGGTTATTAACAGAACTATCTTTTTGATGTATAGTTAAAATTTCTTTTGGATGATTGTTATTTTCACCTCCTATAGAAAATAACTATTGTATCCTAGATTTTTTCAGTATTATATGATGGTGGGCCTAATAAGGCTTACACTCCCGATAGATAGTACAACCAGGATACTAAGGTTTAATATATAAATGTGCATCTTTTTATGACAAATTTTAAATCTTACCGATAACTGAATTATTTTATCAATTGTTTATATGAATATCTGAATCTAAAAATTGACTCAAAAAACCTTATTATGATTCGAATCTTTACATATCCGGATTCTGGATGACATCACTAATAAGTAGACTTGTATACTTTAAGCTAGTTTAGATCTATTTTAATTAGTATGGAACAGAATTAAAGCATTTATTCTATTTTGCTTGATGACATTTGAACTTGCATTATGCTTGATTCCATCTTGCTTTATGATATCTTAACTTTGCATGAAGCTGCATTCTATTTTTCATTATTTCATTCAAACTTCCGTAGTGATTAATTCTATCATTGAGTGATAACTATTAAACTTGCACAAGCCATTCATCGTACTGTTTTGGAATATTAAAATGTTAACGTCATATACCTTTATGTATAAGCTACCTTTCTTCATACTCTTTACAAACTTTATACGGTTTAGTTCTTTTTTGTATTACTTTTATGTAGAAGTGGTTTAAAATCGACCTATTCTTCTTCCCTACTTCCTTTTGTACACCTTAAATTACACGATGGATTTTGTTAAATGATTTTATGATTATGTTATATGATTTATCACTGGCATGGTGTGTTTACTGTTAGCTTTCGCTTATTTCCATTATTCAGTGTTTATGCTAAAATAGTTCGGTGTCTGATGCTTTGTGGATTATGTTTGATCATCTTACAATATATATAAGCAATTTAAACAATGTCTAACGAGTGTGAACTGTTAAAGGGCGAGAACTCTGCTATCGAGATCAACGGAATTTTTCCACATTTCGCCTATCATCGGTATTTTCCCTACACAAACTGCGATGACTATTTTGCGTAAAACTGCGTACCAAGCACTAAATATATAAATTGCCCAGGAAAGAAAATAAATATAATTAGAACAAGAGCCATGTCAACATGGCCATCCCCCGCCGAATGTGTTTGCTCATTGGAATAATGTATATGTAGTAGAGCAGAATAATTCCATTTTAAGAGGTCTTTTGGTAATGAAAACTGATGGCTATAGTGATTAAAGATTTGAAACCTATGTGAATACTGATGGCTGAAAATAACAAAGGGCAATAACTGAAAAATAATGCAGGGTAGGTTATCATTCTTGTGTGCTGCATCCCTCCTCAGTAAAATCTATCCACCTATGAAGTTTCAAGCTGATACCTCAAATACTTTTTGAGAAAAAAATTGAATTAAAAAATTAAGTATGAAAAATAACAAAGGGCAATAACTCAAAAATTATAAAAGGTAGAGTTATCATTCTTGTGCACTGCACACCTCCTGAGTTAGATCTATGCACCTATGAAGTTTCATAATGATATCTCAAAGGCCTTTTGAGTTATGCTCTGGACAAAAATTAATTTTGAAAAATAAAAAAAGGGCAATAACTAAACAATTATGCAGGGTAGAGTTATCGTTCTTGTGCACTGCACTCTTCCTCAATGAGATCCATCCACCTATGAAGTTTCAAGTTGATACCTCAAATACTTTTTGAGATAAGCTCCGGACAAAATAGTATGAAAAAGAACAAAGGGCAATAACTCAAAAATTGTACAGGGAAGAGTTATCATTCTTTTGCACAGCATTCCTCCTCAATAAAATCTATCCACCTATAACATTTCATGATGACATCTCAAACACTTTTGAGTTATGCTCCACTTGGGTGAAAAATTATGTATGAAAAATAACAAAGGGCAATAACTCAAAAAATTATAAAAGGTAGAGTTATCATTCTTGTGCAGTGCACACCTCCTAAGTGAGATCTATGCACCTACATTTGTATGAAGTTTCATTTTGATATCTCAAAGGCTTTTTGAGTTATGCTCTGCCGTCTGGACAAAAATTAATTTTGAAAAATAACTAAGGGCAATAACTCAAAAATAATGCAGGGTAGAGTTATCATTCTTAAGCAATGCTCTCCTCCTCAATGAGATCCATCCACCTTTGAAGTTTCAAGTTGATACCTCAAATACTTTTTGAGATAAGCTCTGGACAAAATAGCATGAAAAAGAACAAAGGGCAATAACTCAAAAATTGTATAGGGAAGAGTTATCATTCTTGTGCACAACATTCCTCCTCAATAAGATCTATCCACCTATGACATTTCATGTTGATATCTCAAACACTTTTTGAGTTATGCTCCACTCAGGTGAAAAATTAAGTATGAAAAATAACAAAGGGCAATAACTCAAAAATTATGAAAGGTAGAGTTATCATTCTAGTGCACTGCACACCTCCTGAGTGAGATCTATACACCTATGAAGTTTCATGTTGATATCTCATAGGCTTTTGGAGTTATGCTCTGGACAAAAATCAATTTTGAAAAATAACAAAGGGCAATAACTCAAAAATCATACAAGGTAGAGTTATCATTCTTGTGCATTGCACTCCTCCTTAATGAGGTCTATCCACCTATGAAGTTTCAAGTTGATAACTCAAATACTTTTAGAGATATGCTCCGGACAAAAATGTCGGACGGAAAGACGGACGGAAGGACGGAAGGTCGGAGACTATTTCTATATCCCCCGCCGCCTTTTCGGCGGGGGATAAAAAGGTTATGCAATATAACTTTATATATGTATGCAGTCTGATAGAAAAATATATTCGTGAACAGTTATTTAATGGGGCAGTTATACAGTGGCTGATTCAGGCCCTGGCTTAAGGGCTGCATCCAGCCCCCAGCTCAGCCAAAAGATACGTTCATGAGCTGGGTTATGGAATATATACGTGTCAGTTTCATGCAAAATTGGTCATAGTGTACTCCCTTATCAAAACATAAAATGCTGTCATCCAGTTATTACGCACCTGCCTAGGTCTTAATCTAATGACTTGAACATTAAAAAGGCAATTTTTATTGGCCTATTAACTTTCCAAATGTCTCAGAGTCACTAATAGTGGCGAATAGGTGTGTTAGGCAGTACAATATTTAATAAGGAAAGAAGGAAGTTGTTAATTGTGGTATGTACATAGCCAATAAAATATTTTTATTAATAATGAGCATATATGTGTATGATTATAGTACACGGCCAAATGGGCCTATAAGTCACCAATTTACTATGTCACAGACACCCCTCACACACCACCACATTCATATCCATTTGTGCTTAAAGATATACTATGCACATCTTTCACTAATATATTTTCATCACAGAAATTTATTGAAATATATAAGATTCTTACTGAGTATGTCTTATTTAAATAAAAACACATACACACAGTGTATGGAAATCTGCATTCCTTATTACGGGTCAAGAAAAGTTGTGCATTTCTTAAAAAAAAACTGTCATATTATTTTAATAACACTATATTCATAGTGCCCAATTATAGTGTATATAGGATTTAAAGCAAAATATTTGTGTGAAGCCAAATAATATTTATTTTATGTTACAAACAGACTGTGAAGCAACAATCAAAAATTTTCAAATATCAACTTTGAAGCAATCTTTAAACTCAATTTCACTATTGTACATACGACCTCGGCACACACTCAAAAAGGTGTATAAACAATGTATAAGAGGTGTTTTGCCACTTGTAGGATGAGTTATAAGAAACATCTACTACATGCTGAATCTTCAAAAACACGCACTTTTCCCCTGTCACATCGTTTTCTATTGTTTTTCTCAAAATCTTCCACTTACATGTCAGCCCCCAACTAACACTGTACGGTATACGCCCCTATATAAGGGGACGTAACTTTGTTTAACTCCACGTGGAAAAAGCGACACCTGCTGTCATAATATGAAAACAAATATTGCAACTCGCATTATGCTTACTGTCAACTGCTTAGTGCGTACTGTAACATGCGACTATAATATCGCTATCGTTGTCATCTTCGTTGTCGATGCGCAGCGTACATGTATTGCATTATATTTGTGATCAGTGAATACATTGAAACATATGAATGCTAAGACACATCGAATTCGAGTATTGATCAAAATCAATTATTAATTGTGAAATAGTGTCGACAATGTAAGTGGCAGATTTATTACAAATTAAAGGTACCGACAGGAACTTGCCATTTTACATCTACTTATATCAAGAACAAGCAAAGAATGTTCTTTTAAGAATTACAGTCAACCCGGCCCCAAGTTAACCCGGCCCCAAGTCAACCCGGCCTCAAAATTGGTCAACCCGGCCCCAAAATTGGTCAATCCGGCCCCACAGTATTTTTATTTGGTCAATGCGGCCCCAAAATTGGTCAATGCGGCCCAAAATCGGTCATTCCGGCCGCCAAAATATATATTTTCAAAGAAAATTATTTAAAGTCATCTTGTTGTATGATGGAATAAAAATGAATTTATTATTAATTGTACCAAATTAACGATTATTTGCATGTTATTTCACTGTAATCCAGACAAAAAACCCCACTTACTTTATAAAATATAAGTCATATAATGATATTTGATATCTTCGTTTCTTCACAGATATGATTTTATATATATATATAAAAAAAAAACAAATATAACTTATAACTTTTTTATTTAAGCCTGATGAAGAGTATTGTATTACTCGAAACTAGTAGCCAATAAAAACTTTTAAAACTTGACCTGGTGTTGTACGTGTGTTTCCTCACCTACATTACTTATTTTTTTATTTATAAACCAAATTTAACGATATATTGCATGTAAAATCATTTTATTATTAATCAAGAAAAGTTAATAAAAAAATAATCAATTTATAAAATATAAGTCATATTCGGTATCTTCTGTTCGCTACGGATATGACTTTTATAGAACGTAATTCGAATATAACTTATAACTTTTTTATTTATGGACAAGTGTTTATATTTTAAAGCAAAATAAATAATAAAAAAATGGGGCCGGGTTGACCAGAAATAACATTGGTTTGGGGCCGGGTTGACCAATTTGGGGACGGGCTGACTTGGGGCCGGGTTGACTTGGGGCCGGGTTGACTTGTACCGTCTTTTAAACAGTGAACACAATACGTTGTCCTTGATCAAAGATGAAAATAAACACATAGCATATTAAAATAAGTGAGTTTGATGGTTCAGAAAGGAACACATGAAGTTGCAACTACAGGATAGAGCATAAAGTAATCATAATGCAAGATTGTATTCAGCAAAACGTAGGTTCCCATTGTCATAAAGTAGTATGGAAGCAAGCATAATGTAAGTCCCAATATCATCAAGCAAGATGGAATAAATGCACTAATTCTGTTCCATAAATTAGTGACCTTCATTCAACAGTCATGTCACATAACATTAGGCCTACTCAAATATAAATTTAAGAGATGTCATCTTAAATTCATACAATATATGTTTTATTTACATAACTCACCGCCGAAATATGCAGCTTTCTGAGTTCACAAGCATTTTTATTACAAGGTTTTCGCAAATATTTGGAAAGTCGGTAAAAGTTTCTTGTAAACATTTCGATTAAATAGGTCTGTTTGATTTTATACGTCCATTCCAAGAATAATGTTCGTAATATTGAACCAGTGAATGAAATAAATCCGTTTATTTTTCTAACCTTTTTTTCCTTTTCTTTTTTTATTGCAAATTGTGTGATCAATGTTACAAACATGAGTATTCGATTTTTGTGGAAATATAACATAATTATGGGGTACGTTACGATACCGAAATCAACTTGATTTCAGTAAAGTTACCGAAATCAACATTTCATTACCGAAATCAACTCGTAAAAACTAGCCTAGTTAAAATATTGCAATAATTTCTTCATTATTTGTTGAAAATTATTAAAATTTTCTTTCAGTTAAAAAATCTAGTGAAAATATTTTATTTTAATGATGTTATTAACAAAAATGTAATAATTGAGTTACTTCCCTTGTTCTATACAGACCATTATGTGTTTAGCATTACCGAAATCAGCTGTGAAGTTTAAATAATGTACATTGTATATAATTAATACATATACAGTGCTTATTTAAGATAATTTATGTTTTCAAAATTAAAGAAAACCCGACATTATTGGATTATAAAAGAACAATGACGCACGTAGAACTGACTTGAATCACGGATTTATATTATTTGTCAAAATGTCTACCAAATCATGATGTGTTACGCCTATTGTCAATTAAAGTCCGTGCTTGAATGAATGAATGAATGAATGAATGAATGAATGAATGAATGAATGAATGAATGAATGAATGAATGAATGAATGAATGAATGAATGAATGAATGAATGAATGAATGAATGAATGAATGCTAAACATACGCTGTCTCTGATGCTTATACACGTGTTAGAATTTCAATGTACGGACAGTTAAAGTTGACATTTGATATGTGTAAGCAGATTTATAGATGTTTTGAATCAGGTTGATCTACATGTATGTTTTCATATTTCATCTTTTTAAATGAGTGTTGATGGTATTGTATTTATATTTACTATCACACTGACTACAGTTTTTGAAATAAAATGTCAATAAATAAAATTTCACCACAGACTCGTGCATTTGTATGATGAAAGTATTTGATAAATTTATCCGAAGAAAAAAAACAAAAGCAAGTGTTCCCAAGTTTATGATTTTGTGGTTTTAAACCACTATAACCTTTTATTTTGTAAAGAATATAATAAATAGAAAAAAACACCCTGCATTTTGTGTAATTACAATATATAGTTTTGCTAAATTACGCTCACTGTATTAGTTTACCAGCACCTGTCGATATCTTATACGGAACAGAACAGAACATATCTTTTATAGACTATGGAACATAAAAAAGATGTATATTCATTTAACAAGGTACAATATTAATGAACAAAGACACCTTAAGAAGTCAGAGATTTTTTTTTCTAACCTATGAAACGAACTACCGAACTGGGGATTATTTACATTAAGTCAATGTTATGCAAAAATATATTGTAGGTTAAGAGATATTTGATACGCAAATTATGTATGTACAGCACGACATTTATTATTATACAATAATTGACTAGTGAGCCATTGAATATGATGTGATATTCTATTAATATGACTGTCTGCCGGTGAATATCACATCATATTCAATGGCTCACTGGTCAATAATTGTTTTATTATATATGAATAGACTAAGATATAAAAAAAAACTCACAAAAAGTACAACCTTTATATACATGTTCAAATTTTGCCTCGTTGAAGCGCGGGAAATAGACGCACGTGTTAGGTGTGCAACCACTACGCGAACACTCGGCATACAAAAATAATTCAAGTTTCAAATTACTCATCATTGCGGTTTGTGGTTCAATTTGAATTATTATGTATTTATTAATTCAAAAAAAATAAATTTAAATGTTTAATTTAACTTTTACAAGCCGATTTCGGTATGGTAACATATATTTAAGTTCGACAAATAAGGGAAGTAATGTTGATATTTAGATATTTGTTTCTAATGTCATAATTACAAATTATTTCGAACTGATTTTTTGCATGAAAGCTGACTTCGGTATCGTTACGTACCGCATAATTATGCGTCTAACATAAATCAAATACATCTATTAGAACACAAAATGAATGACGTCATTCACACTTCCGGTTTGCCAAGCCCTAGAAAAAAATATCAAAACAATATATTAGAACGATTTTCGATCTATTTACGTGAAATATGGATCTCATGATTAACAGGGTAATTGATGTAATAGCTAGTTTTATTATGGAGTCATGTTTGACAATTTTTTTCTTGCTTTTTACTTCAGAAACCGAAATTATTTTTAGAAAATGGGAATTACGAGGATGACTCATGTTGATCTGTTAATTAATAGGTTCTCTTCAAATGAAAAACATTTAATAAAATAACACAAAAATGTGTATAAATATATATTGGACATAGATAAGTGCAGTAGGAGTTAGTAGAATAAAAGTTTCTTTGTTCTAGGGTTGCTTGTCTAATCGTAGCTTAAGGTCTTCAGCGTACCTGTTTATATACTATGACATGAGCGCTGAAGACAGACCTGTAGGGAAAGCCCACCAATTATCATGCCAGGAATCTGACACTCGTATTCATTCATCAAACATGCCATGAAGTAAAGTAAAGCATATCTTTATGTCCTTGATAAAACTATATATAAGCCAATGATTGACATATAAAATTAAAAATCTTATTAGGAACATGAATAACCTAATAGTTTCCAACAGGTAAAAAATTCAGCACTTCAGCCGCCATATTGCCAAAATGTTTGACCACGTGATTACTAGATCTAAATTGGCCTTTACAAACCCATGTGCTTCCAACTTTTTTATAAATTACTTTGTTAAAGATAACGAAAAAAGGTGATTTACTGACTTTGTATTGGCAAAATCATATTTAAGTACTAAAAGATTAAAGAAAATAAATAAAAAAATTATCTTGAAATATAAAAATTGAAATCATGTCAATAAAGATGTTCACAATATAGTAGTTAGTACATGACTCTACTCTAATCGGTTTCTGCGAATGACGTCATACGAGGTCTCACGTAGTTCCTAAATGTCATGGCTGACTGTAGTCTTGGTAATTGATGTTTTACAGTTAAATAAGCACTTTTGATGACAGTATTAATATTTTGGTACTTTAAATGGTATAGAACGATATAAAAATAATTGTTTTATCGCAAAATGCACAACAATTGATTGGGACAAGGGTATTTGCACATGAAAAATAAGGTTAAATCAACTTCTGTTATTCTGGTTAGGTTCCCTAACGGGTCTTATCCAAAACTTTAAAGCCACATCAGATGAAAAACAAAAATATTAAAAAGCGGCTTATAAAGTTTTGGAAGCCAGAACTACACCAGTAACAGAGACTATAATTTCTACTCCTACAATTCATCGTGATTGTATTCGCATTTTCATTTTTTAACAGTTTAACATTTGACGAAATATGGCAGATTTGACCAACGCAAAAATAAGCTTCAAATTCTTATTGGATGGATCTATTATATAATAGCATGTACATACTGTGATTTTTTTCACTGTATTTTACAGCCGAATAAAGGCTGTTTCCCCTAGCCCAAAATAGATATTTTCCCCTAAAAATTCTAATATTTTCCCCTAAAATGCCTCGTGCTTTTACTTACCAGAACCATTACTTAACAGCATCTGACTTATAACAGCTAGAAGACAGAAATATGTCCTTATAGATAGCCTCTGCTATGTACCATGCATGTTAAATTAATTTTTTTCATAAAATATGTGGGTAAATTCCATTTTCAGTTGTTTGAATTTGATTTCAGGTTTACCCCTTTTCTAATTTATCGGTTATCCCAATATATTTTCCCCTTCAGAAAGCCACAGGTTGTTTTGAATATTGGAGAAAAAATCACTGACATAGTTTTAGTTTCATCTAATTATGCTACATGTGTATATGAAGAGTGAGGCGATTACTAAAGATGATGATCATGATGATAAGTCTAAATATTTTGGGCAATTTCCTTGATTAGACCCTTATGTTAGTTTCAATATTTTGACTGCAAGACGGAACGATGTTACAATCTGATATTATATACATGTAGATGTCTTCCTACATGAGTACTAGTTTTCAGGCATTTGCCTGAACTTCAGGTTTTTTCCACTCCTGAAAGCTCTCTTTTCCTATGTAAAAACAATTAAGATTATACTAAATTCAGGGTTTTCAGATATTTTCAACTTGCACCCATGGTCCTAGGGCGATCATTGTCTATATTATAAAAAGCCCTAAAGCGCACATTTTGTTGGGCTACCCCTTATGTATATAATTTACAAGTAAAACATTTATATAAATGTAATAGAATATAGAAAATGGAATGGAACCTTACATGTTCTCCTGCTGTAAACCCTGTGGTGTATTCCAGGATATAGTCATATTTTGGACTTGTGGGATCCAATCAGGTTCTTAAACTTATTGGGCCTTACATCATCTCAGAGACAGAAATGTACAAACTTGAAACAAATTAACTCAGCCCATATTTAAATTACTGTTCAGTGTGCATTGTCTTTCATTGACTAATCATCCGGTTAGCTCATTAGGAAGACCATGGATTGTGAATTGGGTAACCTGGGTTTGATTCCCAGGGGGTACAGGTCATTTTCGCTGTGATTGATCATGAAATCCTTTTTATGGACTTTTGTAGCTCACCTGTCACAAAGTGACAGGGTGAGCTTTTGTGATCACTTTTCGTCCAGCGTCCGTCCGTCCGGCGTCCGTAAACTTTTACTTTAAATGACATCTCCTCATAAACCACTAAGCCAATTTCATCCAAACTTCACAGGAATGTTCCTTTGGTGGTGACCTTTGAAAATTGTTCAAAGAATTTAATTCCATGCAGAACTCTGGTTGCCATGGCAACCAAAAGAAAAAACTTTAAATATCTTCTTCTAAAAAACCCAAAGAGCTAGAGCTTAGATATTTGGCATGAAACATCTTCTAGTGGGTGTCTACCAAGTTTGTCCAAATAAAAGCCCTGGGGTCAAAATTGGCCCCGTCCCAGGGGGTCATTGATTTTCCCTATATGCATATAGTAAAAACTTAAAAAATCTTCTTTTAAAGAACCCAAAGAGCTAGAGCTAAGATATTTAGCATGAAACATGTTCTAATGGATGTCTACCAAGTTTGTTCAAATAAGAGCCCTGGGGTCAAAATTGGCCCTGCCCCAGGGGTCATTGATTTTCCTTATATGTGTATAGCAAAAACTTAAAAAATCTTCTTTGAAAAAAACCAAATAGCTAGAGTTTAGATACTAAGCATGAAACATCTTCTAGTGAGTGTCTACCAAGTTTGTTCAAATAAAAGCCCTGGGGTCAAAATTGGCCCTGCCCCGGGGGTCATTGATTTTCCTTATATGTGTATAGCAAAAACTTAAAAAATCTTCTTTGAAAAAAAACCAAATAGCTAGAGTTTAGATACTAAGCATGAAACATCTTCTAGTGAGTGTCTACCAAGTTTGTTCAAATAAAAGCCCTGGGGTCAAAATTGGCCCCGCCCCGGGGGTCATTCCTTTTCCTTATATGTGTATAACAAAAACTTAAAAAAATCTTCTTTGAAAAAACTCAAATAGCTAGAGTTTAGATATTAAGCACAAAGCATCTTCTAGTGAGTGTCTACAAAGTTTGTTCAAATAAAAGCCCTGGGGTCAAAATTGGCCCCGCCCTGGGGGACATTGATTTTCCTTACATGTATATGTGTATAGCAAAAACTTAAAAATCTTCTTTGAAAAAACCTGAATAGCTAGAGTTTAGATATTAAGCATGAAACATTTTCTAGTAAGTGTCTACAAAGATTGTTCAAATAAAAGCCCTTGGGTCAAAACTGGCCTTGCCCCAGGTGTGTCATTGTTTTTAACTATGTGTAAAGAAAAAAACTTGACCAGCTAGACCTTAGATGTTAAGCATGAAATATCTTCTAATGGGTGTCTACCAAGTTTGTTCAAATAAAAGCCCTGGGGTCAAAATTGGCCCTGGAGTTTAAACTGGCCCCGCTCCGGGGGCCTATATACAGGTGAGCGACCTCAGGGCCATCATGGCCCTCTTGTTTTCTGTACCTCTGCTCTGGCATAGACAGAAGTTATCAGTTCCTTCAGGGCTTGCAAAAGTGAAGGCAACTAGTAATTTATGGTAGAGTGCTTGATGACCTACCAAGGATCATTGCGGTGGCTGTGCTCTGGTAAATTCAGTGTGGCTTACTGCTGTCATCCTGAGGGTAAACTACCAACAACACAACCATATTATACATAGTCATCGAAATAAACACCTAGAATACTGACTAGCATCATGGGCCAATTAGAAGTTATCAATTCCCTGAAAATTAATTTCATCCTGAAAAGAACTTTAAGAATACATCAGTTTATCTCTTTTTTATATGCCCGAAAAAATTTCGGGCATTTTATGTTATACCCCTGGTGTCCGTCCTTCTGTCCGTCCGTTAGCAATTTGGTTTCCGGAGCATAACTTAAGTTCCGTATAGCCCACAATATTCAAACTTCATATGATGATTGTCCATATTGGGTAGAAGACCCCTATTGATTTTGGGGTCACAAGGTCAAAGCACTCAAAGGTCAAGGTCACTATCACCTTAAAACTGAAAACAGTTTCCGGAGTATAACTAAAGTTCCATTTGGCCCACAGTGTTCAAACTTCATAGGATGATTGTCCATATTGGGTAGAAGACCCCCATTGATTTTGGTGTCACAAGGTCAAAGGTCAAGGTCACTATTACCTTAAAACAGTTTCCAAAACAGAACTCAAGGTCCATTTGGCCCACAATATTCAAACTTCATAGGATGATTGACCATATTGGGACATTTATAAGAAATATGTCACAGAATTAACTGCTATATACAGTTACTGTAAACGAAAATCATTGTATTTTGTAATGTTTGTACCTGAAATGCACTAATTAATAATTTTCTCTTTCAGATATGATGAGATTTACTGTAAGCACATAGAATTTTCTCAGACATTGTTAGTGCCTAGGAGTGATAAAAATTCTTGTTTTAGAGATGGCGCGAGAACCAGTGGTTGTCAACATTTATGACATGGTAGGTTCCAAATTTAGATTCATATCTAAGCTGACACTCTTTTCATTTTTTGAATCATTCATGTTATTCTTGAAATACTGATGCAATCTGGACTTAGTGTCTGTCAAGAAATTTAGAATCAAAATTGAATTTGTGTTAATTTGGACTAGTGAATATTACTTATTATCAACCAGGCACTTTTCATGATTCATTGCTATTTAAGCTTGATTGTGAACTTTTAGAACTTAAGTCAAATATAGATAATTGCGCAAGTGATTTTATTAAAATCTTAAAAATGAAATTATTATTTTTTTATTGACATACATGTACGACAATTTGCACAGGATATTCATTTAATTTTGATTTTTAACCAGACATAATTTATGAAAGCAGTGTGAAAGATTAATCTTATATATATATATTTCTTCTTTCACTCCTGTGAAGATATTATGTATGTTAATGCCATATATATATACTTAATATTTTCAGTATTGGATTAATGAATATACCTCACATATTGGAGTTGGTGTTTATCATTCAGGTGTTAGTGTGTATGGTACTGGTAAGTAGACATTTTTATGTGTTTTATTGGGTTTTCCAAAAGGAGAACAAAAAGTAATCAAATTTGATATCTGAGTCTGTAATATACATGTAAGTCTGTGACTATAAGTAACTGAATATGTGATTATAAGTATCCAAATCTATCGTGATGCATATTTAGTATCCAAGTCTGCAAGGATAAGTATCCAAGTCTGTGATGATATGTATCCAAGTCTGTGATGATAAGTATTCAAGTCTATGAAAATAAGTATTTAAATTTGTGATGATAAGTATTTAAGTCTGATGACAGATCTTCAAATCTAGTTTTCAAGTCTGTGATTACAAGGTATCCAAGTCTGTGATGAAAAGCATTCACACTGTGATGGTACATGTAAGTATCCAAGTCTGTGATTATAAAATCCAAGTAAAGCTGTTGATAATAATTATCCTAGTTTGTGATGATAAGTTTCCAAGTCTATGATGATAAATAAAACTTGTGTTTTTTACTACTACAAAGAGTTTTCTATAAATTAAAGCATGTTTTATACACAATATCTCCAATTATTCAGAGTATGCTTATGGCGGGCATCCATTTCCAATGTCTGGTGTGTTTGAGATTATACCAAAAGATGCCGAGGATCTGGGTGAACAGTTCAAGTTTAAGTAAGAAATTTTTTCTTTTAAATCTGTATTGAGCATTAATTTTATGAAAATAAAGAGCCTTGTTTGAGAAGTCAGCTTGATTGAGTCAAAGCAAAAAGCATTGGCTTTAATTAGGTATATAAGAGCAAATTTAATGATGACTTTTGTTTTTCTTTTGTTAGCATTAAATGTGTTGTCCCGATATTTTTTGTACAGCGGTAGAGTTTCAGTTTTCTTTGTCAGGGCCAAATGGAAATCACTTGTTAGAAATGTGTTAATCTGTTGCTGTGACAAAAACAAACAAAAAAACACGTATAAGGAGATTTCATGGGGTACCTAACGTGAAATCATGAATAATAATATTTCCAAGGATTATATAGTGGTTTAAATTCCTGGTAAAAATCATAGCATGGACATAAATTACAATTTTTGCTATTTATAATATCACCGACATAGAATTATAGTCATCTCTTTCTTACTGAAATCACACAATAGTGTGGCAATAATTTAAAGCGGCCTTCAGCTTTTATTTTTTGTCGGAAAAACAATTTTGTGTTGTTTCAAACTAAGTATTTCAGTAATTTTATCTTGGAAAAATGCATCATTTCACTGTTAAGCCTTCTTCAAAACAGCATCCCGAGACCTATTTATATATAGTGCACCAGTGACGTTCATTTCTAAAAATAATTCTGGAAAGGAATCGTCTTCTTTAGTAATGTACATATAGAGAGCAGACAAGTAGATTAGCTGTATCTAGGGGTTTCCTAATTGTTAATGTATTTTATAGACTTTCCACCTGAATTCTTTTGATTTGACAATTATATGAAACGATTGATCCAAAAATAACATTTAACCTTTTGGAAAGCTGATGGCCACTTTAACAATTTCAAATTCCATACTTATATGATTTATACAGAGAGTCTATAGTGCTGGGATCAACAGACTTTACTATGGATGAAGTTACCAAGATTGTTGAAGAGTTGGGAAAACAATTCAAGGGAGATCAGTACCATCTTCTGAACAAAAATTGCAACCATTTTACGGCAGCATTAACCAAGGTTTGTTCTTAAATGTTGAAGTCATAAAAAATTACATGCACATCAATGAAAAAAAAGACTTAGGGACAATTTGTGCTTATTGCTTGTAAAATTACATTGTATTTGTATGGAAGAAATAAAAGCGAGAAAGAAGATTTTAATCATGTATTTGTATGGAAGAAATAAAAGCGAGAAAGAAGATTTTAATCATGTATTTGTATGGAAGAAATAAAAGGGAGAAAGATTTTAATTATGTATTTGTATGGAAGAATAAAAGGGAGAAAGAAGATTTTAATCATGTATTTGTATGGAAGAAATAAAAGGGAGAAAGATTATAACCATGTATTTGTATGGAAGAAATAAAAGGGAGAAAGATTTTAATCATGTATTTGTATGGAAGAAATAAAAGCGAGAAAGAAGATTTTAATCATGTATTTGTATGGAAGAAATAAAAGGGAGAAAGTTTTAATCATGTATTTGTATGGAAGAAATAAAAGGGAGAAAGATAATTTTAATCATGTATTTGTATGGAAGAAATAAAAGGGAGAAAGATTTTAATCATGTATTTGTATGGAAGAAATAATAAAAGGGAAAAAGATTATAATCATGTATTTGTATGGAAGAAATAAAAGCGAGAAAGAAGATTTTAATCATGTATTTGTATGGAAGAAATAAAAGCGAGAAAGATTTTAATCATGTATTTGTATGGAAGAAATAAAAGGGAGAAAGAAGATTTTAATCAGTGACAAGTGACATTTTATACCTGCATGTATTTTTAGTCTATACATGATTAAAGTTGCAGTATTTCGTAAGTAGTATTTCATGTGTTATAAAGTTAAGGGAGGACTCAATGTTCACCTGGTTCTGATTGTTGACATTGAATCACCAAGCTATTTTAAATGTTGGTTTGAATCCCAAAACATGACATTTTGCAGAAATGGGTTCATGTCAGGTATCCTTCTGTGAAATATTTTAGGTACAAGCAGACTCTTTGAGTTAAAAATGCTTGTAGGCCACTGTACACTGTTAATGGTTTTCATTAGGGAAAAAAAAACGCAAGTCAGTTGGTTTCATATAAAAAATATATTGATGTCTGGTTAAAAACTTATATTGACCAAAGTCTTATGTGTGGGTTTTTTAAGTTTAAAATCAAACAAAAAATTGGGGATGGTTTTTACTTACTAAAAAAAAACCCAAACATAGAATGACTCTTATTTTTTTAAAAAAATTTGCAAAAATGTAAGGGTTGCTTTAAAATATAATGATTTTCAATGTAAACATCCTTTAAAAATTTAAAACCTGTTTTTCTTTACGATATTATTTTGGAAAGGGGCCTCCGAGCTATATAAATAGATTTTGGGCCTACTGAGTTCCTGAAATTCCTTTCCCTGGAGCGAGTTTTAACCTAAGGGAAAATGGTTTTACGCCATTTGTTTTTACCAAATGTGATAGACCCCCGCGTGGGAAAACTTTCTAATTTCCCGGAGGGAAGCTATATCCACCTTGTGCCAAACTCTCAGCGGACTAATATGGCACCTACTTACTCACCGCGGCTCTTCCGTGACTCTAGTCCATATAGCCCCACTGAACCAAACTCATACAGCAGGGAACCAAACTGTCCTGACAGAAGACATTGATCTTTATATATACAGATTTTTTTCTAAGATATAAATATTTTTTACTGTTGTGTTTTTTCAAATGATATGAGATTGTGAATCAAATTCCATTATTATGTCTAAAGTTATATTATTAAACAGACATTCATGACTTGTTTTAAGAATGCAGTAATTTCATTGTTCATTTTCAATTTGAAATTGATATAAATCAGTCAGATTTTTTAAAGATTTTTCTACACTGGTTTTTTGGGTTTTTTTTCAATTTGAAATTTAAAATGACATTATGTTCATCCAAGGGTATAAATGAGTGAACAGGTAAAAGTCAAAATAAATTTTTATTTTGCCATAATTCCTTTTAATATAAAAAATTATTTCAAATTAACAATAAAGAACGCATGGATCCAAATGATTTTTCCGTAAATATCCAATTAGAATTTACCTGTAACGTTTAGGTCATAGAGTGGGGCAGTCTTTTTATATTTTAGGCAGATTTAAATTTTATCTTAAACATTTTCCAATATGAAGTGTTGGTCAATTATCATTTTAACAGTCAATATTTTGAAATATATAGTCACTTCAGCTCAACTTGCCTATGAAAATATGAGCATAATGTCACTTTTAGTGAACCAGTCAGATTTTTTTCTTGACTGGTTTTTTTATTTTTCAATTAAATTTGAAATAAACCAGTCAGATTTTTGGAGATTTATATAGACTGGTATACCATTGAGGTTTATAGCTTGTCTTAGAATTCTGGTTGGTTGGTTTTTACTTCATATTACATTGGTTTTTTAGCCAACTTGCCTACCCATTCTGGACAGTAAGTTTTTCTCCAGAATGTTCAAGAAAAAATTTCAATGAAAATATTCTTACATCAAAAGTAATGCTCTGTTTTTTTTTAGAAATTCAACTCATTACATTAGTTGGAAATCGCTGGTGTATTGCTGAGTTTTTTTCAAGCAGGTCATTAAAAATAATTGTGATGTTCCATTTACATGAATAGGGTACCTTTCAAACACTAAGCCAGTACTGCCTTCTTTGTTATGTGTCTGAATAACAAAACATAGCTGTAAAAAAATGATAAGTATCAGCATTGGACAAACCTGCTTTCACAGTGCATCCATATTTTATGTACATGAAATCTGTTACAAAAGCTACATTTTATTTACCATCGTATTTGATATTTATATTTTTAAATTTCATTTTGATTTTAATTTATAACAACATAACTTGTCATTTTCATACAATACAATTTTGAGCAACTTTGAATATATTTTTATGAATTTGGCAAATTTTATTAAGGTTTTTGTTTTTGTTTTCAAGCAAAATAAGATCTGGCACAATAACTGTTTTCATACTAGGAACTTCTATGAGCTATGTTAAAGGAACTCCACTGAGGTCCAAAGGCCTAAATTCATAAAATTTGAAAATCTAAAAAATTTCAAGTGAAGCACTTAAAATTGAAAACTTTGCAAATGATAACAAAGAAATATGCTTAAAATTAAATTGAAAATTATTTTTTTGTGTTATTGGTCCAGACCTGCATTAATTTTTCAAATCTCTGGAAAAATATTGTCAGTCCCGATACATTAAAAAAACCTCAGTGAAGTCCCTTTAACCACAGCTTCCTCATTCAGATCAATGATTTAAGTTTTTGTGCAGCCTAATATCTTTCACTATGTTTTCGTTTTTCTTGATACTGATAAGGCAATACATTACATGAATTACTTCTCTTAGTATCCCCTTTCTTTATTATGAAGAATTACATAAGGGCGTGTATTTTGTCTTATCAGGAAGCTATTGTTTCTTTTATATATCATTAAAATTTAAAAAAATGTTTTAATTTTCATGCTCATAGAAAGTTTTAACTAGGTTTTCAAACGAAATTCTCGATAATAAAATAAACTAGTGAATGGTGACTGAAAGGAAAGTGCCTGGGCCAAAAGAATTCCATCTGAACACAACTCTACCTTCATTTCTCATGTCATTTCAACTAAACATGAATACGATTTAGGTATTTTTGCCAGAATTATGGCCCCTTTTATGTATTTAATATCACTTATGTAATATTAGTGAAAAACCCAGGTTTTGTGACAATTATCTGTTAATTTTGGTCTCCCATTCATACGGCATGTGGTGCTGTTGTTTTGATGTGAGATTTTTTTGATTTTATGTATTTTCTATTACTTTTATTTAATCCTCCACACTTTTGTTTTTAAGACTGGGGTTTCCATTTGTAGCTTTTTAAAACGATACTAACTGTATAATTGAAAATAACTTAGAAACAAAATTGTAACATCTTATTTTTAATCCATCTCTTTTAAATTATAGAAACACATTAATTGTAAATAACAGCACTTAGGAATATATTTTCAATATCTTTTTTTTTCTTTCTTGAATTTAAGTTTTAGTTGTTTGAGGGAGCATTTCATCACTAACCATTACCCTGCTGGAACCAATAGTGACCAGTCTTTACCGTACCTACAGTACAGAGTTAGGCATTTTACCTACAGTACAGAGTTAGGCATTATACCTACAGTACAGAGTTAGGCATTTTACCTACAGTACAGAGTTAGGCATTATACCTACAGTACAGAGTTAGGCATTTTACCTACAGTACAGAGTTAGGCATTATACCTACAGTACAGAGTTAGGTATTTTACCTTCGGTACAGAGTTAGGCATTTTACCTACAGTACAGAGTTAGGCATACCTACTGTCTGGCCATGCTGTGCATTAATAACTGACCAGCTTGAAACTTGATATCCCCATATTTGATAATTGACTGTTCCAAAAATGGAAGTCAGACAAGTCCGTTTTACGAAAAGCCAGCAGGTTCAGGGTTTATTTTGAAATAAAGTTATAGATAAAGAAAATATTTTTACTCTCTGTTTTGAAAAATACTATAAGACTTTAACTCCCCTTGTATTTTGTTGTACGTGCAATAAGAGATCTCTGGTCATTGTTAACTTATTTATCTTTAAAAGGTAAATACGGTATTTCTTATTTATCATAAAAAGTTAAATACGGTATGTTGGTTATCAACGGTTTTTAGAATTGATAATTTTCTTGCTAATAGAGAGAAGACTCTCATGCTTATAGGCTGCTATATTTTGCCCCCCAATGTACTTAAAGTACAACATCTTGACAAACAGACACCCCCCCCCCCCCCTTCAATAAAAAAAATTAAATTAACTTACGTTTTATTCCAAATTTGCCAAAAATGTTTTAACTTATAACTTTTGTTAAATTATAAATCTTTCATGAGCTTGTGTTTGTAGCAAATAATCATGTAGAACTTTTGAAAAATACTAGTACTCAATGCAATTGGTGTTTTTCCTCTTTTATGTTCACATTTTATATAAGAAAAAGTTGCATATTTAAAGAATTGCATATTTATACAGTAAATTAGGGTTCACTGTTGATATACATGTA